GGCCACCGCGACAGTCTATAATGGACAGAGTTGGCCCTAATTGGAGTCCAACAGATGGGGGGAGAAAGAAAGGGCCCATGGAAGGTGTGGATGAAAAGTGTTTCTTTGACGGAGGGATAGGGTATTTATGCTAGAGCAGCATCAACAGACGAGTCGATCTGACTGCGGAAAATTTCTAAAATATCTATCTATATACATTGATAAATTGATTAAAAAGTCATTAAAAAGTGAATATATTTGTGAGAGGCATCAACAGGTTAGTCGATCTAGGTATGGGACACAGTAGAAACATCACCAGACAAATCGATTTGGCCATGCCTTTTTGTGATTTATTTATGATAATTATAAATAAAGTCTATAACAATTTAAAAATATTTTACAGTTTTTAATAAACATATATTTTTTATTACAATTGCTTAAATCATTTGTTTTGATTAAAAGTGTACTAATAATATTATCTGTTGTTAATATGGTGAAGCAACTTATACGAAAAGTTAGGATATTATTAATCCATTTTAAATAAGTGTTCCTGTAAATTAATAGTTTTGTTTTGAATTAATTTGAATATAAATTTTAATAATATATTTATTGTTTTACTAAAAATATTATTCAACCCAATTACAGTAAATATTATTCAAAATTCTCAATTAAATTAAATTATATTAATTAAATATAATTATAAATAAAAACATTCATGTAGATTGTAAAATGTCAAAAGATTCCGGAATGTAAGCAATCTCTTTACATGGACTGTAACTTGTAACCCTGGCCAAGAAGTTCCTCCCACCGAAATTACCTTTGTAAATGCCTTATCAACAGGCAGCCGCTGTTGTCGTTCTCTTTCAATTGCTTTCTCCTAACCAAACTCTTTAAACCAATTCTCTTTCTGCCTCTCTTTTGTGGGAGAAGCAACAGTCGGTGTTTCAATTTCCACAGCGTTCCGTCTTATACGCCGCCTCAAGAGAGAGGGAATAAAGAGAGCCGCCTGGAGGAGTTATTACAAAGTAACGTTCACTTTGTTTTGTTTGTGTGGGCGGTGGGTGGTGGGCAGAAGTGGAGATTCCAGACTGCAATCAATAATTTTAAATATTTAATGCGGCTGCAGGTGAGAGTGGCTCACTGGAAACTTTCCTGTGCGCTCTTACTAAACTTTTTCTCGACAACCTCAATGATTTGTTTTTAATTTATGCTTTAATTTGAAATGTACACAAATGTGTGTATATGGAGTTGGAGTCGCATTAAGAAACGGGAATTTCAGACTCACCTGGGCCAGCAACAACCTGCACCTATCTCTCTCACAAACCCAATGCGATCCACAAGTGCTCTTAGCTCTTAATGTCGCTCTTCAACCTTCGTTGAGTTGCGCGCTAACGGTAAAAGAGGCGCACTCTTCGCCCTGCTCTCCTGGCTCTTCGGGACGGCAGGAAACGGAAATCGCAAATGTTCCACGTCCTACGGTGCCTGATGTGCGTATGTGTGGGTGTGGATGACATTGTGGCGCTCGTTGGGGCAGCTCCAATTGTCGGTTCACTAGTCGTTGCGAAACTTTTGTTGGAATAACGTGTCGCGCAATTGGAGGCGTTTCTCCCATCGCTTTGTTATCGGTTATCGTGTATCGGACATCGGACATCGACTATCTGTTATCGGACATCGACTATTATCAATTATCGAGTTTTTGGAGTGTGTGGAAGGGATAACGGGGGCCACCAAGGACCCCAGGCGGATAACGGCTCTCCCCCAGAAATCTCCGCGAGGTTCTATCGAAAAGTTCAGGTGAGTCCAGGACCCCCTCTCTCTCCCCAACCCCCTTTGGTGTTTTCCCACCCGTATTAACCGCCGGCAACCCCGAAAGTTGTCCTTTAACTCGGTTATATAAAGTTAAACGTCGCCTAATGTCAATTTAATTATGTGAAAATAAAAGTTACTTGCGCTTTTTTCGGGTTTTCAGTTTATCTTAATGTGGCAATGGTTTTATTTTCTCTTATTTGTTTGATGAATTCACTTAAAAAGTTTTATTACAAAATTAGGAACCAATTGGAACCGATTCCGTTTGAAGGTGTGGGAATTAAATGAGGCGTTTCAGCTGAAAACTAATTTAAGTTGGAGTCTGGCACACTTAAAACAACTCTCAGCCTTTTGGCAGTGATGAGTTTAACATTAAAACCGTTCAGTGTGTGTTATTTTATAAAGATTTTCACTACTTTTATTATAGTTTACACCTATACACACATCCAAACAATATAACATTTTGAAATTGAGTTGAATTAAATTGAAATGCCGCATTCGCAGACAAAATTTGTATGAGAATAGAATAGGAATAAGATAAACAAAAATATTTTTTAAAGGAATATGTGCATATATCTTAATTAGTAATTATACAGGTCATGTCGCATTATAAAATACTATCAAATTTTCAAAGACCGTTTTCAATTATATTCAAAAATCAGTATTAGTTGAGTAGTATGTTCGCTTTGTATTTAGGTCTTTCGATTTGTGCCAAGTTTTTATGATCGCTATAAAAAGCCAATAAACACAAAAGTTACAAGCTTAAATCTTTGAAAAAGTCAACGATATGGCCGGATCGTTCCTACGACAAAATAAATTGTAGCTTCTGGGCTGTGAATACACACAACCTGCAACAGAAACAAGTGAAACTGGAAGTTTAAGTCCGAATTTTTAAGCTAATAAACCAAAATACAAGTTTACTTACAAGCGCAAGAGAGGCATGTCTTGATCGACTCGTTTTGCGATACTGGTGACTTCTAAAAATAAATTTTAAACAATGCAAGTAAATTTTGGAAACGCTTCCATTTCGATTAAATTCCACTCATATTCACTTTAGTCTGCAGGGGATTAATAAAGCTATTAATTTGTAAAGCCAATCATTATTTTGTGTCTCTCAACCTGAACAAACTGATTAGCTTCAGCTACTATTCACAGACCAACTGTTTGCTTTTGCCGGGGCCTTGGCTATATGCTAACTAAGGCCCTTTAGAGGTGAAGAATACACTTTTAAGTGGCTGCCAGTGCCAGTCATCGGACAATAAAGACCTCGACTGTGGGCCAAGCAAATAACTATAGGGCTAACGCCCGATTGAACCGATCACTACACACGGGCGTTCAATGAGATAGCCACCAATAAGCCGGAAAAGTGAACGTGGGAAAGCCAGGTCGCAGTTCCGCTTTTATCGGCGGCCACTACTAGCCACTCCCAGCTCACTCGAGTGCATTTGCTTTTAATTAAAGGAGAGAGTGCGAGTAGAAGGCCAAAAGTGACTTTTGAAATGGTCAGGCAGATAAAACTGCAATAACTATAAAGCCGGCTGGGGGTGAAATAAGTGTGCCAGTGGAAATGGTGGTGGAGTCGAACCCAAACACGCACAAATTTGTTAAGCGGGTCACGTACTCCGGGAAAGCCCGCCCACCCCCGACCCCCGACCTCCGGGTGTTGTCATCAACACGAAAATAAAAATCGAAAATTAAACTTGAAACGCGCAAAATGGCTACAAATGCTCCGGCTGCCCACCTTCTCCCATCGCAGCGAAAATCGATTTCAATAAACTTTAATTCGTTTTCTTTCTGAAGTCATCAATTGGAAGCCTTGAAAGTGACGCAACAAATTAAATGCCAATAATTTAAAACAATTGCCACTCAAAATATCGAATAAATAAAAAAAGACAAACCTCAAGTGTGAGCGAGACAGGGTTTTGTTTATGGCTTTTAAATCTAATTAAATTCCCATAAAGCGCGCGAGAGCGCGGCTAAGCAAGAATGAAATAAAAGTAAATAAATAAAGAATTATTTTTAACTTCAAACGGTTAGAACGAGAACAAAGCGAGGGACAAGGCGGTGTGGCAAACAAATTGGACAGACAGACGCAAAACTGCGAACAGCCGGCGACAAAGGGTTAATGAATGCGTGTGACTGTGAGTCAGAATCAGAGTCGGAGGCGGGGTCACGCAAATTGCCCTAATGACCTGCATTTTGCATTTGAACAGCGATTTTTAAATTATTTAAAAGCAATTCAAGGAGGCCGAGGTAGCGGGTATCGCGGTGTGAGAACTTTGCAACTGACATATGTCGCATGCGAAGCGCTAACAAAGCCCACTCCACCAAACCTGTTCAATTTATGGTTCACCGACCACTCATCGCTCAGTGCCTTATTCTCCATTCAAAAGCAGAGTGAGGGTCATCTGACCCTAATCTGCCTCCTACTTGGAGTTACCTTTAGAAGTTTGGTAGCAAGAACTCCCTATTTTTGTAAAATACTCGATAATGGGTCATTGTGGGCTAGGACTAGGCAAACAAAAGGATCAAGTCCAATGGTTTTATGTATGCATAAGGTTGGAATGTAAGGTGTATATTTATTTATATATAATTTATAAGCGTTTAGTGTTTATTTTAATGAGTGGAAGATATTTTTCAAAGAGTATTTCTGCTTTCCTCCTAGGGTTATTTCTTTACCATACCTAGAAGTTCTGGCTAGAACTCAGTCATATTCAAGATATCCTCCAGAACTTCAGAAATGATTTGGAATTCAATCAAAAGTAAAACAAACTTGAATTTAACAGAATTTCTGTACAGATTCATGAAGAATTATTGTAGATTCAGAATACTAATCTTTTAAATCACTTGCAGTTGTTAAAATTTAGTGTTATATATATGAAACAAGTTCTGAGTATCACCTGTGAAAACAGGTGGTGTGAATTGGATCGGGAATATATACATATTTTTTTGAAAGCATTATTCACCGATTCCGGAGTCATTCAACCATAACGGCCCCAACCGGCGAGCACAATCACACAAAGCTCTGATAAGAGGCTGTACGTCGTGAGGGGCTGGGGGGCGTGATCCTCCGTTTGAGATTCAGAATCAGATTCGGAACCAAATTCTGATTCGCGCAAAGCTCCGGCGGAGGCGAGAAAGCTCATTGCATGTGTGCTGGCATATATAACAAGTAAATTGTGCTAAATTTACTCAGTCTCATTTCGCGTGCGGGCACTAGGAAAGATGTCAGAGATCGCCATACGCGCCTTAACGTCGGCGGACTTCGAGGAGGTCGAGGCCTTTCTCGCCGTGCACTTCTTCAAGCAGGAGCCACTGATGCTGATCCCGCAACCAGACTCCGCCCAGAGTGAGGTGATTCCAGCAGAGTCGGAGCTTCACCGATCCCTCTTAGCACAGGGTCTCTCGCTGGCGGCCATCGATCGAAGCAACGGAGACCGCATCGTGGGCGTGGTCCTGGCCGGCGAAATGGTGCCCGAGGATCTGGAGCGAGAGTTCCAGGAGGTCGAGCAAAAGGAGGTCAAGTGTCTGCTGGACAAGATCCACAAGTTTCTGGCCGGCATCGAGAGGCGAGCCAATATCTTCAAGCATTTTGGAGTTGAGCGGGCCCTGTATCTCTATATGCTCGGTGTGGACACCTCAGTGAGGCGCCAGGGAGTGGGTTCCCGGCTTGTGGCCGCCACCATCGAGTTGGGTCGAGAGCAGGGATTCCCCGTGATGGCCTCCACCTGCACTAACCTGCACTCCACGCGCCTCATGACCGCCCTGCACATGGAGTGTGTACTCTCGCAGAATTATGCCGACTACAAGGACGAGCATGGCGAAGTCATCCTGCGGCCAGCCGACCCACACACCAAGGCCAGTGTTGTGGGCATCCGCCTGTAGGGAAAGTAGGGAAAACCCACCAAAGAACACACATAGCTAAATAGGTAATAGAATGGAGTTTAGATAGAGTTATATCTTAGGAAAGTTATAATAATTCCTAGCACAAAGAATAAATTTGTTAGAGGTATTTTTAAAAAGTAAAAGATATTTTGTATTTAAAATTTTAGTGTATTTTTAAATAATATAATGCCACAAAGATTTCTTCTTATCAGGCACTTTGATAAGCTTTTGACTAGGGCAACACCAACTATACATATTTGTTTATTTATAAAAAGTTTGTTTTGAAGAAAAAAGAAGATTGCGGTAAGGAAATCATTAAATCAGTATATATCGACATGTTTTCTCTAAATTTAATACAAATAAGTGGGGTAACAATAAGTCACTTTAACCATCCAACGCTTCTAACCGAGAACTTTTCCGAGTCGAATCCGCCCTCTCATTAACTTGGCCTTGCTGCCGGAGCCTTATTTTGGTGTATTTCATCTTTCTTTATGGGGCAATCGCAACGCTGTCGGCATCGTGCTTGTTTTGCCTTTGTTGTTCTGCTTTTCGTACTAAAACTAATTGTTATTTTATTGTGTTTGTAATCCAATCCACGCCAACCGCATGCGATACTTGCGAAAAAGTATCTACAAGATACACACATGCGTGTGGGCACCCCTTGTCGTCGTCGTCGCCGTCGCCGTCGCTGCCTTTCCCTTGACTTTGCCTTGCTTTTGGAAAAGCGCTGATTACGTAACACATGTGTTTTAGTTAACGTTAGCGAAAGAAAGCTTTCTTTTCGCTCACTATCACTAAATAAACAGCAAAGAGCTTTTCTCAAGTGATCGTACGACAAAGCAACCAAACTGACAGCCAAAATTATGATTATGCTTTTTGATAAAGAAATCCTCAATTACTGATAAGACAATATATATTAAGAGTTTTAAGAGAAATATTGAACTAAGAAATTGTCAAGAATTTTACACAAATTCCAGATTTGGAATCTATATTTTAAATATTTCGAAACAAAACAGATAATTATTTTATTATATTATATTATATTATTCCTTTTTTAGATTTTAAAAGACCCCTATTTTCCCTAACTTTTCTGCTAGTATTTTAAATTCTAGTACCGATAAACAACAAGCAGTAATGTCAAAAATGAGCTGGCCCCAGAAAGAAACAAAAGCTGTATATCCACAGCCCTTGAGAGAGATCAAAACTATTGGGAAAGGGCTCTGTCTGACTGGCTGCAAATCGTCCGAAACCGACCAGAAACCAACATAATTTACATGTCTGCAGGATAGGTTGCAAGGGAGAGTCTGGAAGGCACAGGATATTTGGCAGAGTGGCCGGGGGGCTGTCTGGAGCGTATGTTCAGCATGTTATGCCAGACTAGAAACAGTTGTTGCTTTCCCTCTGGCCGAGACAGATGCCTGAAAGCCAAATAAGAGCTCCCATTCCACCCCCTTTTTGTCGAGCCAAAATTTAAGAATTTTATACTGTTTAATATTGCGGCTGTTGATATGGAAATTTTTAATAACATTCCGTTGACAAAGTGCCCAAAATTATGCACCAAAAATTAGGTGGAAAGGCAACAAAAAAGCAAGAGCAAGCTGCAGGTATGACAGAGTCCATAAACTCACAAAGTACAGTGTGCTGCGGCTATGTCAACCCGGCATACTATCTGCAAGTGCCCAGGACTATGTCCGATATTTGCTCTAGTGAATTTTTGATTTATGCCAGCAGAGCGTGACCTAAAATTCCGTGTTCGCACACTGCCAAACTAATTAAAAGTGAAAAGTTGACAACATTTTCTAGTTGAATTTTTGATTTATGGCGCGCAGTTGCCTACCGCAGCGAAAAATTTAATGAAAATTCAATCAAAGTTTGTGGCACTCGCCTCTGGCAAACTACGGGAAAGGGGAGGTTATGGTGGGGCATTGCAACATATGGCTGGCCAGATGCCCCAGGCCCATCCTCGGTCCATTTTGTTATTGTCCAAGTTGCCCTAATGAAGATTAATTTAGAACAAGTGGTAGTCTCTCTGCCTGTGCGTGAGTGCGGTTGATTGTCTATTAAAAAGCTGAGAAAAAACTGACAATGGAAGAATCGAATATAGTGCTTATAGTACCCTATAAACACACTACAAATTTTATGTTAATATTCATTTTTACAACTTTAGTTAGACTTCATATAGACAGACAGTCAAGAGAAACAGTCTGACGATTAGTACTTAAAAAGGTCGCAAAGGCTTTACACTCAATGCTTAATCAATGGGAATGAAACCCATATACCTTTCTTTACTAGTACTATAGGGTATTAATAAAGAATCCTCCATAGACGACGCACCAACTTAAATGTTGAAAGAAACCTACAGTCCACAAAATTAATAAAGATATGAAGATGACGACACTGTCTCAGTGACGACTAAATCTGGGACAGAAACAATTTCATTCAATTAATTTGTTTGTGACTATTTTTAGTAACTATTAACAAAGGTTGTATGTAGTTATTTTTAGGTGTTTTTCTTAAATTGTATATATCCAATTATATGTTATAAATTTAAACTCTTTCAATCTTTCAATCGACCACTGTGCATTCGCCTGTTATCAGGAATCTGTGTAACCGTTTTACGAGGGGATCTCAGCTTCTCTTTTACCTCATGGCCTTTATTTTGATTTTATCGGCAGGTAATTAATTTATAAAACAATTTCCAAAATGCAGCACTATGGGGGGTGCGCGCTTGATTCATGAAACGCCCTCCCTCTCTCTCTCATAGAAACGAATTCTTCGAAGGGAATTTTGTGTTTTGTTAATTAGTCAAAAAATACACACAACGAGCGGAATTTTAATTCAAAAAAACAATCCATGCATAATTAAGGCTACTTAAATATTTTAGTAAGATCCCGATTTCGATTAGGTTTTCGTTTCGCTGCCTACACAATGTGTAACGCATTATGATAATTTCCAACTAACTAAGTTCAATTCAGCATGTTTATCTGATTTTCTTCAAGTGGTTGAACCGCTTGCGTTGGCTTCTATTTTCTTTTCTCAACTAAGTTTGTTTCCCCCCCCCCCCAATACTGAATATTCATTTTGTAATTCAACTTGTGGGGCCTAGTGTTGTGATTAGGATGTTATATAATCAGCGTTTATCAAACAAACTTAGGTTGAGGATATGTTTTTGATATGGTTACTTAGTAACTTTATTTATGAAAACGAAATTCCAAAGAGCCCGCAAGCCGCCAAACTGCATATAAATTTGAAAATCGATTCCAAAACTAACAAAACAAAGTTGCAGAAAACCAAAGCAGAGACCTAAAAAAAAGATATTAATACAAAATGATTTATGTGTCTGCTGCACTGCGGTTCTGTCCAGTCTACCTCAGTGCCAGTTTTGGCCTTGGCGAAACCCAAACTCAAACCCCAGCTTGGTCCCTGGACTAGCCACTATGACTCTGACTATAGCGGTTGTTTCGCTCACATTTTGTTATCTCAGGACGTTAATCTACGCTGGGTCCTGGGAACTGTGCAGACCTGCGAGGCGCCTGCGCAACAGGTAAGGCTGGATGGGACTGAGTATTGCTCAAGTATCGATCTTTAGCAGCGGGCGTGTGCATGGCAAATGCTCTCTGATTTATCGATGTTCTCGAGTGGAGGAATATCTTTGGCCCTGGTCACGTTCCTCTGCGCTGCGATGTCGTCGGGTGACTTCACAGGGCCCCTGCTCCGATACCTGCTGAGTAAAAATAGCAAAAGCCATATTGTGCTCAATGCCCAGGGAAGAGGTGGGAGAGGACGGATGCCCGTCAGAGGGTAAAAAACTATGCTAGGCGTTGCCTGTAATCGGATAATACTACAAAGGGATTCACAAAAAGTCGAAAAGACCAAACCAAAGTGACATATTCATTGACATATCCCATGTTTTTAGGTTCTACAACTTTAAACTTCTAAAACTATATAAGAAATCTTTAAACGTTTGAAAGTTTATACAGTCAGAATCAATAAGAAACAGTTTTCATACCACATATGTACTTTTAAAGATACTCAGTTTAATTTCCATTAATTTATATCATATAAGTCTGAATAGAGAAGCTCTTTGCTTACTTTCTTGTCTTGCCTTCCTTCGACCAATGTCGTGTCCTAAAAATGCCATAATTTTGTATCTCAAACTGTTACACTTAACACTCAATCAACCCTCCATCGATCACATCAATCAAATGGAAACTCCAAACACAAATCGCAACAAAAGCTGGCCAAAGCACTAAAACCAAGTCAACATAACCTCGATTTCCCTTGGCTAAATCCAATTTAATACCAGCCCAGCCCCAGGAATAAGACAGCCGGCGAAAGCAAGGACCAAACTAATCAAGGACATGAATGCACAAGCAGACAAACAAAAACTTGGACATAATAAATTGGAAAAATATAGAAAAATTACGATGGAAAATTATGACTTAAGTTGGCGAAGCTAACGTGAGCGAAAGTCATTTGTAAAACCGTCCAGACGACGACAGAACTCGCAGGGGACTCGCTGCTCAATGGTCACTTGCGGTCATTAGAAGCCAACCGACCAGAGGGGTCATCGCATATTAATAATGAACGCGACTTTATAAACATTTATACAAAAACTTCTGGCTGCAGCAAGGGAAATGGCGCGCAATTAAATTGACACGCAAAGTGTGAATTTGTCACCGACGAGAGAGAACAAGGTCGGCGACATGGATTTTAAGTGACAAGAAGCTCATGACAGGTTAAAAAGCAGACTTAAATAAAGCCAATGTCATCATATTGAAGTTTGTAAATGTCAGAGACGAAGGACATTCAGAAATTAAAGGATAAAAATAGGCAATCTTTTAATATATTAAAATATATCAAGAAAGTGTTATCGTTTCATTTTTGTTTACAATGTTGATAAATGCTAAAGATTTTCATAGACTACCCGTCCCAGGTATAACATATATGTAAATGTTTTACTTCCGGTACTTCTTGAGTCTAAACTATTTGGTCAAATTAGCTCAACGAATATTCATGAATCGCCAAAATGCTAATCATATTGCACATTAACTTCCTGCCTATGTGAGCAAACATTTTTTTGTCCTAGGCTCCCAGTAATGTGTGGAAACTTTCAAACTTTGAGCAGACACTCCCGCGTGTGGCCAGACGCAAACACAGACACACACATGCTTACTGTGGAAAATGGGAAAAACAAAATGAAAGGCCCTTCCCAATCCGCTATCTTCTTTTGCCACCTTTGTCCCTGCCATATCCTTTTGCTCTGGCTTTGCACACGAAATGGCAGAAACGGGATTTTCAAACATATCGCATATACAAAATGCAAACATGTCTGGCAAACACAAATCCCATAAATGTTTTGTGCCCCTCTCTGTGGATGGGATGCTGCTGGGTTTCGGGGTACGGTTAGTGATAAAACTTGCAAAAAATATTTTCATATGTGAAAATGTGTAAAGTGTAAAAGTTGGTCTCTCTACCGTTTCGTGAATCCTGGCTGCTGGCTCCTGGATGCTGGATGCTGGCTCCTGGATAACTCTACTTCGTTTTGTTGCCTTCTATTCCACTTTGTTTTCTGCTCTGTGTGCTCTGCCCTACTCCGTTCTTAGCCGGGTTTTTTTTTTTTGTCTGCTCTGTTTGCACTATGTGAGCATCAGGTGCTGTGGCAAAAGAAATTACAACAAATCCATTTGTAAAATTGCAAACCGAGACCGAGGCATCTCCTCCGCTTATCCAGTTGCCTTTGATGGCCTTTTTGGTCCTCGTTTTTGGCCAGTCAGCAGCGATGTGTTGTTTTACCGACATGTGGCGATAAATATCGTATTTTTAGACACACTATACATACATAGATGTTTTTAAATAATAATAGAAAATGGAACATAATTGAAAATCTCATATAAAAAGTACAACATTAGTTAAAAGAACATCAACAACTAAGCAATCTTAGAATCATTTTCCACCTTTATTCCAAGGTTCCTCTTATAGAGACTGACCACACCCCTTTGGCACTCTCTCCTGTAACCAATTACAGGACCTGTTCTAGCTCCCAGTGTTCTCGGCAAGCTCCCTCCTGTCATTATGGACTCAAAAATCAAGATGGAAGCCACTCACTCGGTGCCTGTCATTTGCCTGGGCAAACATTCATCTTACTAAAGTTTGCACAGGCTCTCCTCCAAATCGCACGCCCCATCACAAAGCTTTTCGCCGAGAGTGTTCCCTCGGCCCAGGCCCGAGACATTCATCAATTTGTTAGGAGAAGCCTGCAAAAACACAGGAGCAGGCGGCGGCTGCAGTGGCTGCTCCTGCTCAGAAGGAAAAAGGCGAAAAATTGAAACGAACTGCAACTACAGCCTGCACATAAATTTGGAAGAGTAAGTGCAGCGTCCTTCTGCGCAACCTTCTGCGCCTCAGCCACTCCAGCTGCCACTGCTCCTGGTCAGCAAACTACACACGTCAAATTTCAAACAAGTTCGGCTGCCGTAGGACATGCAACAAACGACCAACTCCCAGACACAGGTAGCTGGAAAAACTGAAAAAAGTCTGACCTGGGAGTGAGGAGGGAGCCCGGCTGCCAGACTCCTGCGGAATGCAGGAACAGGAGCTGAAGCTGGAGCAGGAGCAGGAGCCGGAGCCGAAGCAGGAACAGGAGACGGAGCCAGAGCAATGGCAACAACAGGAGCAGAAGCTGGAGCACCTGGCATCTTTTTTGTCTGGACTCCAGCCGCCTTCTATCTTATTTCATGGCAACAGCCAGGGCAACAATGAAAATGGCCAACTGCTGAGGTTGAGGTAAAGGTAAAAGGAATTTCCTGAGCTCAGGTTTATGCATAGCTCAGGTGCGCTGCTGATTTACTTCTGCCTTAAATAGCCGCAGGTGAGGTTTAAGGTCAACAGAGTTGCTTGTTTAAAACTATAGTTTCGCCTGTTTTGGGGATAGGAACGGCTCCTGCCGTCCTGCCTTTAAGAGAAAAATGGAATTATGGGTTTGGCGCCTCGAGCCCGGGGAAAATGAAATGATCTGTATGCCTTTGATGATTAAACGAAAACTTAATTACCCTTTAAGATTGTAGTCCGTCAGATGAAATATCCCAAAAGTATTCGCAAATTATGCTAAGTTGTATGTACTTTATTTTAGATATTTCGAAAGTTTCGGTCTTTGCAGCAATTGCAACTCAGACGCTTCAAGTTTGCCCATTGGAATTGTTGCTCTCGAACAGAAACAATAACTGCAGCTGCTCATCACGCCCAACTTTTACTATTCGCCGTCAAGTTCCCCAAAATCCTCACCCATCACCTGTGCCACCTGTCGGTGGTGGCCTTTCTTTTTCGACAGAGACAGAGGTAGCGGCCAGTTCACGTTAGTTTGGGGAATTGCAAATAAATATTTTAACTGCAGTTGCAGATTATTTTAGTGCTACGGAAAAACTCCACAAGTCGTAACAATGCGGACCAATAGCAACTGGGGCAACTCGGCTTAGATTTCTCCGGGGAGCTATGATAAACTGCTCCCCGTAACGAAGACAAAACGTCTGGCAAACTTTTGGATGTGGTTGGGAAGTAAATGTTTCCGTTCTTTATTTAGGTTCGCACAACTTCAATTCACTCGACTACTTTCTGTTTAGGTTGTAGTTCCTCATATAAATGCCGGCCAGGACCTCCTGGATGCGGCGACGCCGCTTGTCCTGCATGAGGATCGATACCAGGTGCTTGGGACTCACGCCGCGGTTGCTCTGGCGATCGAGTGCTTCGATATCCTCCTCGGAGACCAAATCCTCGTCGCGATCATCATTAGCCAGCGACGGAGTTCCGTTAGACTCGGCAGCCAGCTCCACGGTGCCGTCCTCGGCTGCTTCGACCACATCGGAGTCATCCTCGAACAGGCTGCCATCGGAGAGATCTTCCAGGCTAAGGCCCTGCAGCAGATCGGCGATCGAAGGCACGAAGGCGCTGCGGCGGGCGGAGGTCGAGTTGGAGCTATTGCTACTGGAGGCTGGCAGGTAGATGCCTTGCATATTGTTGGGGTTGATGACCAGGAAGGTGGGTCCGCCACCGGAATTGTTCAAGTACTCCATGCCTGGATATGGTGGCGGAGGAGGACGAGTGGGTGGTGGTGGTGGTGGGTAGTACGGATAGTAGGGATAGTGTGGTCTGTGGTGGTGATAGTGCCTGTCCTCGTCGTAATCGGAGTGCTTGCTGGGCTGCTGGACAATGATGATGGGTTGCTGGGAGTTTCGGTGGCTTTCCTGGTCGCCGCGCTTAAGATTCCACAGGAGTCGTGGCACAATCTTGGAGAGAGCTGGAGAGGATCAAGGTTTTAAATATACTCCAAGAGTATTATAGGACAAGTTTTCCTACCACTTTCCTTTCTGGCCTTGCTACCAGAACTCTGTTCAGCAGCCACTAGGGCGAGAAGAGCTGCAAGGAAGACTAAGGTGCTGATGGTTCTCATGGCTTCTGAGGCTGACTATGTTCTAACTCTTGAGATGTTACTCCTTTTATACTCATTCTCCGGCATGACTTGTGCTGAAATTTTGCCACTTTTCAAGTGCTAGTTTCACAGATAATCTACTTAGCTGTGGATAAAGTAACGAGTTTCACCTCGTAAATCAATTTCGGACCCAATGCCCTCCACTCCATTTATGGCAGTCATTAAACTCGCTTCCCTTACCCAGGGATTTAGGCCTATTTAATGATCGATTTAGCACCAAGTTGTCTTCTGCAGATTGCCCTCAGATATGCGTACTTTCAGCTCGGTGCGCTAATGTGTTTAGTTTATAGACTCTGTGATCTGTCAGGTCGGCGGACGGGCCGATCGGATAATTTGCAGGCTGGATCATTGGCCTCAGGTTTCATTGAACTTGGGGAGAGTTTAGAAAGGCAGTGGCACGGTTTCGAGGCTGATTCATCGGGTTTAGTTGTGGTATTTCCAAAAATAAATCAATTTCATCCGTAGATAGTCTTCAGGGGAATTCACACTATCGATATACTTTGTGAAATTCGAAATAAATTAAGAAACAAAGACACTGAGTGTTATGATATGCTCGAGTCTGATGAATAATAGTTTGTTTCAAATGTATAATAAAATTGAAAGCCATACCCTTGGCAAAAGCACAAAAAATCCCCTGAATTTCGCCCCCTCTGTGCCATTTGATTCCCCAAATAAAATCCATTTCCTGTCTCCTGCGACTAAGTAAACACAGCAGAACAGTGTACAAATCTCGCACACTAAAAGCAAAATGGCAAAGAGCAAATACTATCTGAACGAATATCCGTTACAAGGCCCGGCGAAAGCGAAAGTCGGGCCGAGGCCGTTTCATCCTGCGCAATCAAAGGCCAAAGACAACAATAAGTCCTGGATAGCACACGAGGTAAATATTATTTAAAAAACCGAAACACGTAGGCGACTTAAAGTACAAATCGCACTCAATCAAAATCACCTCAAGACCGCACACAGAGCGAAGCTTCCCAGACGAAATCCCACATTACAGCCGGAGCAGTTCGAGGAGCAGTTCCGTAAGTGAAAATAAATAAGGGGATAGGGAACACACTCGTCCTGGCCTGAGATGGCAACAGGAGCCAAGACCCAAGACCCAAGACCAAGAACTCAACACAGAAAACTGTCATGTACGAGGATTTAGCAGATTTAAATTCTATTTGGGAAAGGCGCAGGGTATGGGCAACCAGGAGGAGTGGGGAGTGGAATCAATTTTTTGTAGTCCAGCCCGCATGGAAAACACTTTGGAGAGCTGTCATTTAAAACTGACCAATGGAATTTGGAAAAGATTTACTTGGTTTTGTCTAAGGCTTCGTCTTTTCGTATCTAGTGGGTAATATATATCAAACAAGAGAAGAGCAATGTTATTTTCTGTCAAATAATAAATAAAGTTTATTAGGGGGTACATTGTGTTTGTAAGTATATCAAAAAGTTTGTATTAGACAGCTTTAACATCTAGAAATCGAAAAGTTTATAAAGTCTATAAAGCTATATTAATTTCTAATCTAAATTATAGTACCATTTTCAAGGGCTTAAAACCTAAGTACATTGCATTCCGATTATTAGAAAATACTCTAGAACCCAATTTCGTTTCGAAATGTGCTCCATCTCTTTAAATTTTGATGTGACTCAACCTTATGATGGCTTCAAAAACTAGGACTTTATGGACGTACTAGTTTCGACTATGCCCTAGTCCAGCTCACATGTCCGGCCACTTAGGCAACATTAGGTCGCCTTGGCCAGGACACTGCTCTGGTCTGCATGCGAATATTTATCGATTGCCATGACAAACCAATTCGTTATGCTGAAATCTACGGGCTCCGCCGAGCCGGACACCTGCTCGAAAGGCGCCAGAGCACAATCTCAGCGGGACACCCGTCCATTTGGGGGAGGACAGAGTGCGCAGTTCCCTTTGGGCAAAAACGGGTATAAATGAAAAATCAGCAACAAACGGCAGAGCATACACTGGGTCCGCATGGACTCGGGTCCGCACTGGCCCAAATTTGCATCTATTCCGGCATTTTTACGTAAATTGGCAGTTAAGACAGAGATAGACAACCCTCAGCCTCGTTTCCCGGCACCAGAAAGGGGCAGAGGGTTTGCAGATACAAGCAAAACTGGCACGAGGAACTCTCCTCTGCGTTTGGTGCTTAATTAAAGCTGTTGTGGCCTCGACCAGCATCCAGACGTGTTAATCTACAGGGTGCTCCGATGGCCCCAGATTGGGATAAGTGAAGGATGCTCGGAATTTGTTTGCCATCTGTTGGCTCTTCTCTGAGTTGAACCAATTGGTGGTTTAAGAGGAGCACCTCACCAACGCTAATCAATAATTTGTTAGGCAATCTTTCTGATCAGTTGACTATTGCAAAAAAAACTTAATTTTAACAGAGTATGAAAATCTAAATTGTTGTGCTATATTCTCTGACTTGTAGTTTATAAGTATTTAATTTTTAAAATAAATTCTCTTTTATCGATACGCACTTTTGGAATCCACTCTGTGTTGGATTATCCCGGGCCGAGAAAGGCATTTCCCTCCATTTCCGGCAAGCTGCGAATGCGCTTGTGACGCGTTGCGATTTCACTTCCGGTGCTGGACCGTTATGCTTAGCTTCGGCTACACTGCGGAAAAACGTGCCCGATGGGACAGAGGAGGAGAGTTCAGCTCGGCTGATTCCAGCTTCTGACGAGCTTCGGGTTTTCCCAGTGCAAAAGCGGAGTGGAGCATAGAGCACAGAGCACTTTCGGTGGCCACTCAGCAGCACAAATTTTCGGCAGCACGCTTTTCCGGCTTGCCGACGCAGCAGCATAGAGCTGGCCACCTCCCCCTCTCCCGACCCACTTGCCACCTCCCAGCGACATCCTCAGCCACTCGACCTTCCTTGGAGACGGGTCCTCCGCTCACTCTAGTTCAATAAGGATTTCCGTTTCAATTCGTGCGCAGCGCCTTCGCTCCTGCTGTTGCTGCTGCTGCTGCTGTCCATTTTCATTTATCGAGTTTTTCACTTTGACGACCTTTAGGCCCGAGGCTCAACTTTTTACACTTTTCGCAGCATTTCGCCCGTCTCCGCTTCCTCGCTCGCATTAGTTATTTATTTTTACTTTTGTGCTGATTTCATGCGATTGCTTTGCGACTTTCGGTGTTGCTCTTTGTGCTTGATTTGCTTTCCAATTTTCAATGTGTCACTTTATGAACACGGCCATTAATCAAAAACAAAAAAAGGCACAGGGAAGGCAGGGAGGAGTGGAAGGAAAGTGAGCCAAGGAATTATTGCTTAAATAAGCGTGTTTTCCCGGGTAATGGACGGACCCTGTGAAATGAACCGACCACAAAAATGGCCTGAGTTGGCATTTCCACTCGCTGGCTGGAAAGTCCTTCGGCGCTGCTCTTATTGATTTTGCCTTCATGCGCCATTTGCGCGGTTACTGTTTTGCATGCCACGCCTCAACACCCATTCAATACGATGTAAGATTTTCGCTCTTTATATATTTTTTGTTGTTAATAATTTATAGGACTCGGCAAAAGTACAAAAAAAGGAACAATATTAAAAAACTACAAATCAATGTGCTTGCTTCGGTTGGCAAGTGGCGAGTAAATATTTCCCGGAAGAGGAATTGTGGTTGAACTCATGACCGAGAAAAGAGATTCTGAAGGAGTAATGTAAAGGTTTTCCAATTGAATTCCTTTTAAATTCTTGTTTTTCTTTTGAGGTGAAGTTTGTAGTTAAAGCTGCTACACAAGGCCTAGATCTTTTAGCCCTATAAAAACTAGCACAGAAAAGCTTTCCCAATGGAAATTAAGGCATTTTCGGCTTGGTTATGATATCTTTGATTTACCCAAAACCCAATTTATATGGTTGCTATTTCCTTTCACATCTGGTACTGTTTTTTCTGAAATTTATGCCTGCATAAGTAGCAATCCTCCAGCAGCCACAAAACAATGGCATTACAACATTTAAATATTTTTAATTCCCCGCACAGGCGGCGCAGTTGAAAGACCGACCTGGCAAGTGACATAAAATTAAAATCAAGTCTTTCGCGGACAGCTTGTTCTATGGCAGGCAAGACAAAGACCTTACCCAGCCAGCTTTTTACTTGGAGTGTCAAGTGTCAACACCGAAATGATTAGATAGGCGTTGCCGCTAACAACTGTCCCTGCCCCGTCTCCGTCTCCGGCTCCGGCTCCAGCTCCAGCTCTACAAGGGGCGTAACCGAGGAGGAAGTGGCAAAACCCATTAAACGGACCGAGAGGAAGACATTCGCGCACTGTCAGCGCCAGCTGTGCCTTGGTGGAACAATATCACACCAACACCTCCTGCTGCACTCTGTCGCTAAGTATTCGGGTTTACGGCGCAGTTTTGATTTCAAAAATATTATGACGACTCTGAAAGTTACAGCCCTGCGAAAGACTCATTCGCCTCGAATCGAAATCATTTCTGGCTGCAGTCATCGTTGGATATCTCTCCTACTCCTGGTCCTGCTGCTGCCCCTCTTGTTACGTCTTCATCACTCGCATTTATGGATTTGTAATTTTAATTTCGACTCGCACTTGGCCTTTCCTAACTAGTCTGGGAACACACTGGCAGCTCCACCCACTCGGTGGAGCAGGTTTCAGGGATCACAGAGGAGACCACACTGGGGAACTTGTATATCAAATAATTAATTTAGGTATTAAATCAATCTATTGATAGGAATACAAATAGACATTAAAATTTGTTCTAAAATATGTTTGAAATTTATGTTTACCCATATTATACAACTTGTATTGATCAGTTTTGGTAATACTCTTCTCTCAGTGTAGGGACATGTGCCCCTCCAGTTGCGTGCGTCTGCGGGGGCGTGGTGCTAGCTGTGAGCTGTGAGCTCTACGCCCCTCTGGGCCATCTTGACAGCTCTTCGAAGCCATCCGGCGAATCGTTTGCATTTACGACTGCTGGGGGCAAAGGTTTTTCGCCTTT